CCCCCAGCCCGCGTGGTTCGCGTCCCCGCAGCACTGAGGCGCGACAGCCGCCAGGCCGCCTCCTCCGGCGGCGAAGGACAGCGGGGAGCAAGAGGCGCGCAGGGCTTTCAGGGAAACACAAATCCTCACAGAGCCCTCACGTGCACCCTAGTAGCAACAGGGCTAGGTCATCTATAGATATATAAAAAAGGCAAACCATCACCCCCTCCGTCACAGGAACGCTGATTACGGCAGGATCTTTCCTACACTGTTTCCATGGCCTGGAGCCTCCGCGGCGTCCCGGAGGCTGCAGAGCCAAGGCACAGCACAGCGTGATCCTGGCACCGCAACGGCGAGCTGCTGCCTGCCCGGGAAGCAGCTGACAGATACAGGGAAGTAATACAGGAATAAAACTGAGACATGACGGGCTTTGAGAAGTGTGTTTAACTTCATGATCAGCTGGGTCAGCTTCTTTCACAGCTACTGTAAAAAGGCCATAGTATGGTGATAGTTGAATTTGAGACAAGATGAGCTGCATTTAATGCTTAAGTGTCTGAGCTCCCTACTCCAAGGAATCACTGGTTTTAAAAACATTTAGTTAAGTCAGATGAAGACCGAGGCAAAGTTACTGAAACTTAAATAGTTTTTTACACCGTCCTTCAGCTGTCACACCTCAAATGAGGTTTAGTACAAGCTCTTTATCTATGGTTTAAGCACATCAAGTTAAAAACAAAACAGAAAAAAAACAAGGGTGGGAAAGTTCCAGCTCGCCAAGCTGGCAACTACTTTCTGCAACTGATAAAATCCCTCTGCTGCAACACTATGAATAGCTAAAGCATGCCTAGTCAAATTACACATGCTCAGTGTAAAAGGACTGTCAAGGGAGACAGGACAAGACCAGAAACCTGCAATGAGAAAAGACTGTTCCTGTTTCAGTGACTACATTTTGCCTAGATTTACAGTGTAAGGACCTCTTGGAAACGCCATTAAAAGCATTACAAGTCACTGATGAAGACAGCAAACATCCCAGAACAAGTTGTTCAAAAGAGGGGCAAAAAGACAAGATTCTAAATCTGTTTAAGTATCTGGTAATTCAGGGATTTAAACTAATACCAACTTCATTAAAGAAACCTGAACTGACCTTTGCTCACAGTCTAGATCCCACTACCATGTTTTTCAAGGGCCTCTCAGGAGGCCCTGTACAGGAAATAGACTGACGATTGGATAAGTTTTGCTTGGAAGCCAGTCCCTGCTATTTGCTTTCTTGATGCATCGTGGTTGTAATACGGTAGTGCTTCAGGATCCTCATCAAACTACACCACCACTCCATCACATCAGGTCTTTCTGGTCACCTATGGCAGCTATACAGCTTCATCAAGTCAGCAGCCTCTACAAGCTGCTTACATAGGAGAGGGGAAAAGCAAACAAATAGACCACACCCATCACGTAAGTCACATAACTTCCAAAGAAAAAAAAAATTAAAACTCCTTTATTTTCTTTTACAAAAATACATATTTGCAGTCATGTGATAGTTATCATAGTAGTTACCAGTTTATATGGTTCCAAGAAACTATACAGTGCTCCAGGTTAAATATTTAAAATGATTTAGTATAAGAATGGCCACTTACTAACTTCTGGATCAAAAAGGCTATTCATCAGGGTGTGCAAAAAAAAAATAATTTCACGTTAGAAATTAATGCTGAAGTGGTGTAGTTTAAGTAACATAATAGATATATTAAACTTCTGGTCATGAGTAATTGTATACAAACCATAGCAGTATTAAAATACATTATTTTCATAAAAATACCATTGTGACACTTTATATCTAAATAAGACATTTTTAGAAAGATGGTATGAAATATTTATCATACAAAAGCATATTCTTATAACAGGATTATGTTGTAAGTTTTTAAAAATTCTATTTAAGCACTTAAAAGCAGGTTTTTTTATAACTGTGATTCACTTGTCATATAAAAGCATATGCTGTGTGTACACTGTAGCATTAAGTTTATTCTACTTGAAATTCAAAGTACAACACTGCATGTGGAGCAGCTGAGTTCTTATATACCACTGAAACTTGTTCAAGAAGATAAACATCACATTCTTGTTGCTTAATATGCAAGAGGAAATTACTCTTTATGCACGTCTGCTATATGCATATACTGAGAATAATTTCATGCTACAATCTTTGCTTGCCACAGTTTGACCTTTCCATAGGCTTTTTTCAGCTGAAGCAAACATCATCTTCCTCCAGCCCCATCACCTCCTCAAACACCCTACTGGTATAAGTAAAAAAATATCAAGTAAAAAAAAAAAAAATATAACCAGAGCTAACTGCTATGATCTCCAAGTGAAATAGATTGTGTATCAGCTAACTCTACTGAAATCACCGATTTTAAAATCCAGATTAGAACACCAATGTGTTTATTTCCTGTGATGAATACTGCATGCTTACATTTACAGTAGTGATCCACTTGAAATCCTGAATGTCAGCAGTTTAAAACCACCAATAAGTATACCATTACTTTATATTTAAGGCATGTGAGTAAGAGCACCCTAATTAACTGACATTGAATGGAAAAGACTTCAGGAAATTTTTGTCAGCTGCCTTCTCTTATTTAAAGATGCTAAATTAATATGGTTTTGGAAAGATGGTAAGGAGGACAAAGGAAGAAAGTTAGGAACTGATCTGATTATTTCAGCTGTCCCTAAAACACTTCTGAAAGTGATGATTTACCAGTAAAATGCCTCAGTTATAATGTATTCTGACCAAGTCACATAATGTCAGTTGGACTTATCACTAGAAGAAAACTAAAAGGAAAAAAAAAAAGAAGAAAAGCAACCAGATATTACATCAACAGGACAGTACAGGAACAATATTGCTTACCCCTGAGTTAACAGGATTGGGTATAGCAGCACCAATTGGAAAACATTCTGCAATGCCAGCACTGCACTGTGGTCCCATACTGTGGTATAGTTTCATATGCCCACAGATTTCTTTTTTTTAAGAGCACTTATTTCAAACATCATTAAACACAGGAATTCCTTTAGTTGCATTGGTATTTAGGTGGAAAAAACAGTGAAAATAGTATAGTGGGCTATACTATTAGTACAATCCATTTGTAGTGTTAATATACTGCTTAGAGCTGTGTTCCCAACTGGGTAAGCCACTGTCTTCTGTGAAACTACATTTGCCTTTTGTTTTCTGCACAAAAAAAGCCCAGTAGAAATCATGTTGTGCCAGTTTTGAGCAATATGTCCTGTAAGTCATCTGGAAGCGTTAATATAATATCATTGATGTGGGTCTCCAGCTTTTTCAGTGTGTCAGTTTTCACAGGAAGATGTTCTCTGTCAGCCTGCAACTGCAGAGGTACAAGAAAATATGATTTCTACTAAAAAATGCAAGTAAAAAATGCAACATTATTGAATCTGGAAAATTAATTCCTCATTTACCAACTGAATAGGAATTTGGACAATAGCAGGTTTCCTCAATAACCACACAACAGCATGAGCTAACACTGATCTGGACTTTCAGTAATTACAAGAGAGTTTGGTTTTCTTCTTCCCTGAGGATTCAGCCTTTTTTCCCCTCAGGTCAGTCACAAAGTTCCAACTAATTTTTAAAAAACCAAGATCAGTGCAATGCTTACAACACAGGCGGATGATGTTGGGAAGCTAGCTAACTTTTCAGTCATGGCTGAAATGAACCGGTTTTGTTTTAAAAACCTGAATGATTGAAAGAATATTTTCATTTATATACTGTAAACACAACTATATATTACTTTCATCTAGTTAAGTCATGTAAATTTGAGCCATGTTCAATTCAGTTGCTTACCAGTTTATTCTTTAACTTTAAGACAAGATCCACCGTTTCCACTTCAGTATGCTTCTGACTCCAGAAAACCAAGTTCTAAAAGAGTAAGATTAAGCATTGAAATATTTATGGCAACATTTATTATTTTCAGAAGAAATATTAATTTAACACCTACTCTTTAGAATGGGTCTTTTCCTTATTCTCATGCCATTTACTAAACTAATTTTACTCATGTACTGTCTCTACTGTGAACTGCAAAATCTGCTTTATTTGCATATTTGCCCAGGACTTAGCATAACAGGAGACTAACACAAAAACACAATACAGATAAATACAAAATTTTTTTTTTTAAATGCCAAACAGGCTTAGTTTCAAAAATAGCATCTACAATGCAAATTGGCACTGAACGTTTACCGAATCAGACCTGCCAGCACAATGAAATATTAAAATAGTGCCAGGCAGCACTTCTTGTTTCTAGGGCATTAAAGGAGATTGCATAGTTGATAACTAGTAAAATATACTCATTAAGTGCATTTTCTTATGGAAGTTGTGTTTCCTATTCACTTAAAGGCATTTACTCATGTACAGAAAGATGTTAACACTTGGATCAAAAGAAAAAGCTAATAAGGAGCAGAATTAGTAATAAATTTGTGACACATTTCCTTTTCTTTGCAATGAGCTAATGTCAGATAGAGTTGGAGAGATGCTAGGTGATGTAATTGACCTAGCTATTGCCCTGCAAATTATCTGGGCTGCTCTATTTGAACAATTTATCTGGGTTGGTGCTGTTTGGGAATTGACAAGACAAGGAATAAAAACCAATGGCTTTTTAAAAATAACTAGTGTGATTTTTTGTTTGTTTTAAAGCTGTCACGTTGACTTACTTTTTTTTTTGTTCTTCCTATTCCATCTTTAGATGTACCATCTCTTCTCCTCCCACAATACTCTTCTTTATCAGTTGTTCAGACTCAAATTACAGTGATACTCACTTCAGCTTCTTAGGTAAAGAATGGATCTTACAAGGTAAGATCACTTATGTAGCATTTTGCTATATAGCAATAAACACATTTCACTTGTCAGCTTCCAGTAACTATGGATCAGTTGTAGACTTATTTCCTATCCATATCTTATTAGTTGTCGATTTTCTATGGTACTCCCTGAGTTTATACCTTCAAAGCTACAAACTGTATCATGAGTAAAACTGTTGTCAAATGAAATGCCAAGGAAGCAAGCTGAATGAAATAAGATTATTGAATAAGAGGAAAAACCTTATTTTGGGGGGTGTGTGTGTGTGTGTGTGTGTGTGTGTGTGTTATTCAATTTCAAAATACACACCAAAAAAGTACTAAAGATACATTTTACCAACAATGACAGTTGTTATAACAAGTGAACAGTATTTCATATTTTTCTCTTTTGCTGTTAGTTCTAGCTTGTAATTGGTTAACAAAATCATGTTTTGTTAGATCAGACTTGACAAAATTGTCAACATTTTTATATTCAACCAATGAAAACAGCAGGAATAAAACTGACTTAAGGGAGAATATGTTTTTATTACAAGATGCTAAGTATAATCATAAGGACACATTTTTCTAACCTCATTACAGAGTGCTTCTAAATGAAGAGCCTCCAACTTCTGTGTCATTTCTTTCTGCCGGCTCCTAAACCAACCATCGAAGTTTGGTGATTTTAAAAAATGCCTGGTAAAACACCAAAGCAAAATACATTTTGTATTTTAATTAAGTTTTGATAAAACTGTTTTCTATGTCATCAAATGTAAAGTAATTATGTTTGAGGTTGAAGAAGATATTAGGATCCTTTCTCTGTTTACTTGCAAAAAAAAGTTATATTCTTAAGTGGAGTATAACAGGCGCTTCTATTAATCAAGACAAAGATTGAGAAAATGATGTAAAGAAAAGGTGGCTGAAAGAGTAAAGATTAGTAATTTTGTCAGGAAAAAAAGCAAACCTCAGTTCATAATATCCTCATTTTAATCTTTGTGTTCGATTGGAAGGAAAAATCAAGTTAGAACCAGAAATAAACCTACAAATACTGGTATACAGAGACCTGTAGTGGTAGTAGTGTCTTATGAAAACCATTACAAGGTTACAGAGAAACAGATTTAAGTGAGTAAAGTATACTAAGCACTATCAATTCCTATTAAAGCATATATTTAAAAAGTAAGTCTTATTCAAATCGATACTAAGTCTGCTCAAGACAAGAGCATTCCTATTACTGATCTGTCTTCATTTATATAATTTAATTTTTTATGCTGATGAAAGAAATGACCTGTAAAGTCCTATCCAGTCTCCTTTTAAACCTGATGTGAGCTGTGGTCCTGCTTTTTCCAGTGTCTTCATGAAGTCATCTTGGCTAAACTGCCTAAGCTGTGGTGGACTCTATGGAAAGAAAGAAAAAAAAAAAATCATTAGCATGACATAACTGTTTTCTCTTATCACCAATTTCCAGCCCACCTGAATTGTATTTCCTTACCTTCCATGGTGATATGCACTTTTGCAAAGGCATTAGGCTTGCCACATAACGTTCCTAGGGAAAGGAAAAAGAAAGGTTGTTTGTATAACCAGTATTAAAGATATACAGTCCACGTGTATGTTTACTTATCACTTGTGACCACAGCATTTTCTCTTCTAAGTATTGGTACAGGGTGGGGTCGTGCATATTTACCACATGAGAGCATAAGGAGCTTATCTAATACCATTGTATTTTCCCAACTACAGAACTTCATGTCAGCAAGGTTCAAGAAGAACGTGAGGGAAAGGTGGAGAGGAAGAAAACATATACATGGAATATATATATCCTGAACTCCAGCTACTAGCAAATAATCTCTCTTTTCTTTGGTGACAGTCCACAGGTACTTCCATATCATGGGTGATTCCAAACAGTAATCCCCCTTTGTATCAAGTATTTGTAAGTGACTTTCAGAGTCCCTCATACAAATATTAAATATAAAACCTACAAAACGCTGTATCAGCTCTGAGCATCTCTGCAGTAGCAATTCTTGGCAAAGGCATAGCTAGAGCCCCTGCAGGCTATCTACTGTATGAGTAGTGGAGACATTTCTCAGCAAGGCCACTGCTGAAGCTTAAGGTCTGACAACAGGAGGCAGCTCTGCCTTGCCAATTCACACAAACACATTGATACAAGCCGCTGTACATTTTGAACGTGTTTGTACACGAATGGCCACACATTTTCATCTGTCAACATAATCAGCTTTGATAACATTATGAAAAGTCTAGTTATATCTTCTGAAGAAAAAAAGGACCTCCTCATATAATTTTCTTGTGGCAGTGAATGTAAAGGGTTATCTTAACCTGTAAACTAAGTTATGTGACAGAAAATATATTGTTTTTCACTTGAAGTGAAAGTTTGAGCAAAAAGGGGTGGGTGGGGGAAATGCCAGGGAAATGTTTCAAATTCATCTTATATGTCCATCCTGTCTCAACAGGAGAGAAGGACAAGTTTTGAGGAAAAACTCCTCTAATCATTAACAGTGAAAGACAAATGAGTTTCTAGGGATGTTCCAATTCTTGCAGACAGAAATCGGACCTGACCAAACATGCTCTAAAATGATGAAAAGTTCAGGTCATCCACAAAGTGTTCAGGGAGGTCAGAATGGGACAGCTGATATGTAAACATCCTATGACTGAGGAATTAACTTCACCTAGAACTTTTTGGGTTAGTGAAGTCCATCATTACTTGGACTTCAAATGTCCAAATGCTAGGTAAAAGTGTATCAGAACTATTTATCATTATCTTCATGCACAAGTTAGAAAACAGAAAGCAAATTCTGTAGCCCCTGCTACACGGTGTTGACCATTAGCATTTCCTGACAGGAAGTGAGGCAGAGGTAAAGCTGAGTTTCATATTAATCCTCTTGCCAGTTCTAGATGCTCTGAATCTAACTAGAGACATTGCCTTTTTCTCAAAAATCTCTTGTAACTTTTGTTTATACTTGACATAGGTGCCAGATCTGAAAATCCTGCAAATACTGCAGTAATCTGAGGAAACAGCTGCCTTGAGGCCATAAAACAACTGCCCAGAGAGGTCTGACTGCTGAAATTTGTCTACTGAAGGTAATCCAATGGCAAAAACCTCTATAATCAACAAACAAAAAAAGAAAACCAGAACAAAACCCAAACTGTCTACCTCTGGAGAAAGACATTGTTCTTTGAAAGTCAGATAGAAAATATAGGTAAAAATGGAGTTGCAAAGATAAGTCTGTGAAGACGTAAGAGAAGTAAATTAACTGCCTGGATGACAAGAACTGAAATGCTTTGTCTGGACAAGACAGATGAAAGGAACCGAGATGTGCTAGATACAGTTTCTCATGCCACTCATAACAGCAGTCAGTGCACAAATATGACTAGAAAAGGGAAAACTTCTCTAAACTGGAATGATCTGCATGGAAAAGCACTACCACTAGAAGACAGAATAAATATTTAAGGGAAAAAATTAAGCCAGTCTGATTTACCAGTTGATTTGGTTGATCTTCCACATAATAATAAAAAATTACCTTGTAGTATCCACTCAGCTATCACAGCAAATATTAATTTGTATACACAAATGAGCTCTTCTCATTACAAAGTACCTCCTTCCAACTCTACCTTTTCGATACTGACATTTCTCAAGATCAAGGGAAACACCCTTACACTTAAAAGGGAAAAAAAACAAACTTCAACACTGGACAGGGGTTCCAAGTGTTGAGGAAAGATTAAATACATTTCCTTCTTATTCTTATGTTAAAATACACACACAGAGTTTTGCTTTGCACAAATGCTACACAATAAATTGCAAGTAAACATCTGAAAATACTGTCTAGCAATACATGCAAAGCATTCCTTTTTGAGATGTGAACCCTTTGTCTAGATATGTGGTTCATTTTTGACAGTAAGCTACTGTCTTCATAATTTTTATGCTAAGTATGCTAATTAAAGAATTGTAAGACTACAGTATTTTAGAAAAGTCAAGACATAGCTTAATGGTTAATTTCTGTAGCTCAAGTATTATTCACAGAATCACAAAATGGTTCAGGTAGGAAGGGACATCTGGAGGTCATCTGGTCCAACTCTACTCCTTTCCCACTGTTCAACCATACCTGCAGGCTGCCCAGGACTACACCCAGACAGGTTTTTACTATCTTCAAGGATGGAGACTCCACAATCTCTCTGGGCAACCTAACTGTGCTAGTGCTCAGTCATCCTCACAGTAAAGAAGTGTTTCCTGATGGCTGACAGACTCTCCTGTGTTTCAATGTGTGCCCGTTGCCTCTCATTCCATCACTGGGCACCACTGAACAGAGCCTGGATCCATCTTCTTTATATCCTCCCTTCGGATTTATATACATTGATGAGATCCCCCCCAAACCTTCTCTTCCCTAGGCCAAACAGTCCCAGCTCTCTCAGGCTTTCCTCATACGAAAGAAGCCCCAGTCCCTCAATCATTTTAGTGGCCCCTCACTGTTTTTTCCAGTACTTCCATCTCTCTCTGGTCCCGGAGAGCCCAGAATTGGACATGATACTCCAGGAGCGGCCTCACCAGTGCTGAACAGAGAGGGAGGATCACTTCCCTCAGCCTGCTGGCAACACCTCTCCTAATGCAGCCCAGAACACTGTTGGCCTTCTGTGCTTCAAGGGCACATCGCTGGCTGATGTTCAACTTCATGTCTATTAGGACCCCCAGATCGTTTTCTGCACAGCTGCCTTCCAGCCTGCGTCCAGTACATACCGCTGCATCCGTTTATTCCTCCCCAGGCGCAGGACATTCCATTTTCCTGAGCTGCATGAGGTTCCTGTCAGCCCATTCCTCCAGCCTGCTGAGGTCCCTCTGAAGAGCAGCATGACCCTCTGGTGTATCAGCTGCTCTTCTCAGTTTTGTACCATCAGCAAACCTGCTGAGGCTATACACTGCCCAATCATTCAGATCAGTAATGAGGATGCTGAACAGGACTGGACCCAGTGTTGACCCCAGGGGTACACTGCTACTTACTGGACTTACTCAGTCAGGCTAATGCCAAAAAAGCTACTCCATATTACAGAAGTAAAAAACCCATTAGTCTAAGAACTCACTAATGGAATAATGAAACTTTCTGTCAACTCCAAAAAGTATCGCCGAAGAATCACACTCTGTGCTTCTGTAGGTCGTTTCTGTTGCACACCCTTAAAAAAAAGAAATAAAATACCACAATAAGTCTGTTACCTCGAAGTATGTAAGTAGCTATGGGTTTTATTTAAATGAATATTTATTCCAGTGTTTCTATATTCATTTGCCATAAGCCTACACGTTGCACCCTTACCCTGAACCATGAAAGAAAAGCCATACTGTCAAGTCCTTTTGCACAGATATTAATCCCTTTAAATGCTGGGTTTTTATTTTCATGTAAAGAAATTAAAGGGAACAAAAAATTTCTAAAAACAAACTTGTGCAAATCAGTTCCAGTTTGGAAACTCTGATTCTTACAGACTTCATGCAGAAGATTTCTAGACCAAAGGGTCTAGACCAGGATGGCAGACAGTGGAAAACTCAAACCAGATGAACAGATGATCACTTCAATTCTCTAAATTCTTGAGCTAACTTCTTGAGTTCTACCATTCACGTTACTATAGAAACTGCTAACAAATCAGCAGCGCTTCTACAATGAAGGTGTATATCTATCTATGCAGTTATGAACTGGGGCAAAGGAATCAGAATCCAGGTTCACTTCAGTTACGTAGACAGAGCTCAGCCTTAAATGAAAACACCGTACAACAGTACACAAAATTTCCATTAAGAAGAGACTTGCAGTATTACCTTTTGTAACTGTTTAACGATTTCTTCATCTTTGTTCAAGTATGGCTTGTAAGAGGTATAAACACCTAAAGAAAAAAAGCAGCATATAGCCAAAGGAAAAATGAGGTATGATTTTAAAAATTAAAATACTGTTAACTGAACTGTGAAGCAACTTATTACCAGGTTTGGAGTCCAAAGTTTTCAGGTTCTTCAGTTTTTTCACTTTCACCTGCTTTGGAACTTCACCTGCCAAAACATTTAAAGGAACCTTACTTGAAATCTCCCTCTCTATTATTAGATACTACAGTTGATGTGCTATACATTGCACTAATTTTTAGAAACAGATACTTCCATTTAGAAGATAGTCTAATATTGTAAGAAGCATTAGAAAATCAACAAGCATCCAAGTATGTCCAGAAACATCCAGTAAACGTGAACAGCAGCTTACAGGCTTTTCATTTTATAAGGGTTCCCTGTTGAAAAGAAAAAAACCCAAAAAACCCAAACCAAAATAATGAAAAGATGACCTTCTGAATCAAAGCAGCCAAAGAAAAAAAATGACTATATAGCAGTGAATGAGTGTTTCATTAACTTCAAATTTTATTCCTTCTTCCTTTGTTCTCCTTAGGATGAATGTTTTCAAGAAAAAAATCTTTAGTACCTTGGCCAAAATAAAAACTGTACACAAGAAATTAAAATAGTAGCCATGGATTAAGTGTTGTAAGAAAATTAATTTAAGTCTCATTTTCCTTAGGCCAAACTAAGTTTTTTCAGTTTGTTTTTCAAATATACCCTTCTCCAGCCAGAAGACCCTAAGCCCTGTTAATAGTCTTGCAGCCCCAAGCAGAACCTTCCTCTTGAATCTAGCTGGATGCTCAACTTCAGAAAAGATAAAAGTATAAACTCCTACTGAAGATGCAGAATGAGGAAACAAGGGGAAAAACACCCCAACACCCCCAAAAATCACCCCAAACCACAAGCCCTCTCTTTGTCCCTAAAGAAATAAAATTTAATTTTTTAAAGGCAGGTCAGACCGATACATCTTCAGAACTCCCTGACAAAGCATTTCACATAGCTGCATCAAAACTTGTAGAATTTCATGCTTAAAACTGTGTATCAAATTTGAAAGCAACCTGTATATATGCCTTTGCAGATATTTAATAGTTTAAATAAGATTATATTTTCCAAACGTTAACTACACAGCAGCTAGCTAACTCCTCCTCACAGCCCCCCAAACCCACACAGGTATTCTGAAGCATGGACAGGCATGATAAAGCAAAACCTTGCCTAATTATATTGAACACAGTACACAATCCTTAATTAACTTGCTGTATTCAGAAATTGAATGTAATTTATTCTATAAAAATTAATTTCATGGTGTATAATCCTAACTGGATATTTATGCATTCCCACTTTCAGAACAGAACAGTGAACCTGTCACAGCAAACAGCTACATTCAGGAATTCTATATAACAGAGTACTGCAGTACTTTATTACAGGCTAGCAATTGACATGTTATTCAAAGATTACATTAAAACTCTACTCAACCTTGTAAGGAAATCATCCAACTTGAACAATTAACAGTACTGGAATATTGCTAGATTAGAAATACATTATTAAAATACTGTTTACAAACAACTTATTATATATTCTAACATTCAAGTTTAGCTTTCACATAGGTCGTCTTATCTGTGCACTTGCTGTGACTGATTTACTATATTCTACTCATCCTAAAATTAAATATGTAATAAATAATGTTTCACATTTTAACAATTTATTGGTAGAAATACAAAAACAGGGTTGTGTGAAAGGTAAAACATTATTACTAATGAGCATTACCACTTTCTGCATTTAATATACTAGATTTAACAGTACAAGACATACAGTACTCAAGAGCCTAATTTCACTTGACAGATTTACATCCCTGAGGATCTGGTTAGTATTAAACTCAACTATTAAACTAAGTTACACATGTTTGTAAATAAATAAGCACACAGTTAGATCTTGTCATGCAGGATTGTAGAAAATATTTGTACTTTACCTGGAAGTTTAATATCTCCGATTCGGATAATGTGAGGCCAGTGCTGAAGTGTTTTAGCAAAAAAAGGATTTGTCACCCCTAGAATGACAGATGGTCTATAAAATAATAACAGTGTTTAAATATGACAGTAAGAGCTTCTGTTTTAATGAATATAAAAAGTCAAATTTAATTCCTAACTTGAAATAATTTTCCTTTTGTATTTAAGAGTTACATTTTAAGTTTTCATGTTAAGAGCACAGTATGTTTATCAAAGTTTTTAAGTTTTAGAAAATAGCAAGACAGATGTATCTTAGGATCCAAATGGTAACGGAGAATAAAAGTGACATCACCTGCTTAGACTCTTGGCTAAATTCTGCCCGTTTGCAATGATGAGAACAGGTTATTATATGAATTATTATATCAATTTTTTTTTCTTTAGCGAGCAGGAATCTGACCCGTATTTGAAATTGCTACTTTTCAAGGTTTGATTATAAAAAACTCCCAGTACTTGAATACGCACATCAACATGACTGCAATTTGCATAAGACTTCTCAGAAGAGCTACTGCTCAGATGACATGATTAAGAGACACGTAATATCCTACTTCCTTTTCAACACGTTAACATTCTTTGTTAAAAAGCGGTTATCAAGTACAAGCACATTAACAGCATTGTGCCCAAGCTCACTAACTATCAGATTTTTCTGGTTACTCTGTGCTTAGACTCTTCCTTCAAGGATGCATAGGGGCACCCAGAGAACAAGAAGCAGTAAGAGCATAGGGCTGCTGCTACAGCATAGGCCTAGAGAATTTAGGATTTATAGCACTAATATGATGAACATCAACATATTTTTCAGTATAGTGCCTGCCATCCATTTTACAGCAAACGTTAGCTAAGGAGAGAGTATAACTGCAAGTCTCATTGGAACTGCCATATTAAAAATAGGTTATCATCACTTCTTCCCATTAAACATCCCAAATTTTAACACTAAGTTTCCTGTATCTCAAGGCAAGATGGGGAGAAAAACCAAGTAATCTTTCTTTAAATTTTTATTCAATTCTTCCAGCTATATCATGATGGCAACTGGGTATCGATTCCTGTGTGAACCTACAAACATTTCTGTCTTTCATTCCTCCCTCCACTTGCTAATTATAAAAATATATATATATATATATAAAAACCACCTCATTAGGCATTCACAGACAGGACAAAAATCACCCAGCTCCGTAGCCTAGTATAATGTCTGGGCTATGGAAATAGCAATTTTCATCTTTGCGTTCCATCTTAGAATGAGCAGCACCAAATTCTCAGAAGTCTTTGCTTGCTTGTTACTGACACAACCTTCACCAGAAAAATCACTTCTTCCTAGTCCTATTTCTGTTCAGCTATGCTCACCTGAAAACATTTTATTCGAGGTATTATATATTCTTCCCCACTCATTTGAATTCAGTATCATTATTTTTTGCTGTTTCTATAATCCTGTTAAAATTCATTTGCATTATTGATTTAAATTAATTGTGATTTACAAATATTGTTCATGATTTTTCAGCGTTATCATACATGATTTACAATCTCTCTTCCAAAATGGTAAAGACCAGTGCCCATAAAAAGGTCACAACAGATTCCTTTGTTGGACTCAGAAAAATCAATTTATGACGTTTTATCTTATGTTCTTTCCATGGTCATGTAATAAAACTCAACCTAGGAAACAAACTGAGGCTCAAAAGAACCCAAACAACAGGCATTCTCCTTCTCCCTAGGAATTCAACAATTCTAACCTAACTTCACTCAACTATTACATCTTCTCATGCCTATTTTGTGGAAACCAAAAAGCAAGTTTCACACAGAATTGGTTTGGACCAATGTATATAAACTGACATTCTTTTACTAACTGGAGAGTTAAAGACTCAGGGTTAAAGTCAAGTAAGGCTTCATTTCTACACATGGACAAAAACAGTAATTCTCCAAGTCAAGATAAAGTGATAGCAAACCATGAGGAATCTTGTTTCACTGCTACTGGTGATATAATACCAAGACTTAGTAAACTACTTGGTCACTTTTAGGAGCCTTGATCTATTGTATCTACCAGAATCAATTCTGATTTCAAACCACTTAAGTAATTTCCGAAAAGGCAGGATAAATCAGAACATCAAGATGAAAAATAGCTCCTCACTCCCCTCTCACTAAAGATAATATACAGAATCTGCATCATCTGTATTTCTCGCTTTCTTAGAGCCACTGCTTTAAAAGCCTGATTTCAATCTTCCCATTTTTTTTGTTTTCTGTAAGAAAGCCAGAGCAATTTTAGCTCTATTTCAAATGCTAACACACATATTGAACAATCTTTCTATTTTGCTACAGAGGATGCAATTTTTAAACATGGGTTATTAAAGTTTAACCGAATTCTTCCTGGAATTATTTTTAGAAAGTAAATTACATACTGCATAACCATTCCCACGGAATACAATCTGAAACACAGTGCTTATGTTTGTATGTTTTCCCACTACTGTATCTCTGGCAATACTTTCGCTGAGAGGAAAAATACAGTAAAAAAAAAAATGAAACAAACAAAAAACCCAACGCAACAACCACTCCCTGTTCAGACATTAGAAAATATTTATTTACAAGATCGGTGAATCTAACACAGGCACTCCATTCCCAAATCAAACTGCATTTAAATAACATATAATAAGAAATATTGGAGGTGTATACTTTCAAAATAGAATTAGAATTTTTAAAAAAATGAAGGGGAAAAGTGTGAAACTGCTTTAAGGACAAACAGAATTGTCTTTGTAGACTCACAGTCTTAAAAAGAATCTTAATTTCTGCTAAATTTGTTAGAAAAATGTTGTAAATAATTCAAAGAGATTTGTGTGTGTCCTTCAAAGAGATCTGTGTTGAGACAACTGTCTCAACTAGGACACAGACTGGATTAACTTTACAAAACAGCTGTATGGATGCTGAACTCTAGAAGTCACTTTGTTTATTAATTACTTAAAAATAAATACAATTACAGAACAATTTCCCAAGATGCTACTACAGAGCTGGTGTTGCACAGACAAACCCTTACAGAAAAGCAAAACTTATCTTGCTTTTATATGTGCAGTTTTACTTATTCTGCACACAAGTATCCTATCAAGTTCAAATGTAGTTTCATTATGACATTGTTTCATAACTTCTTTATCTAACAGGAATGAAAACTTAAAACTGCTAATTACTGCACTCTCTAAGATAAATCTTACAAATAAGGAGCCTAAATATAATTCTCTAGTGATAGAAATTCAGAACAGTTAAGCAGTATCTTAAAACAAATTTATGGTTATGAGTGGTTTTGAGCAACACCTTCACAACAAAGTTTGATCTACTTACGGTGCTTGTGTGCGAGTTGTATATTCCTTGAATTCACTGTCATGTATAGTAAAGTACGGCCTGAAATCACTGCAGTACTTCAGTGGTGAAATACAACTGGAAGGTAGAAAGAAGAGAAGCTGCTTGTACGTGTACAGTGCAAAATTTCATCAAAGAAACAAGCAAATCTAAAATTTGTAATGCTTTATTATATTCAGATCAAATGAAGTTGCACTCAGCTGCAATCTACAGTGACTCAGGTACTAGTTAGGAAGCACTGCTACATTTACCTAACAAGTGCCAACACGGTTTCTGAAGATTCTGATGGAGATGGTGCCATCACAACAAGTGGTTCTCCTAGTAGTACTAGTTCCCAAAGCATCTGAATGTGAAAGAACACTGGACAGAAACACCTAAAAACAGATTGAGGCATTTTAATACACTTAACATAGCCAGAAGAAAAACATATTTGATCATTAAATATTATTGCAATATTATCTAGTTCTTAATCATTTGAAAAATATAAAATACTCTTGTAAAACACAACATTTAATGAACTTCCCTATTTATAGCAGTTTCAGCCTGAACATTGTCTGAATTCCCTTTTAGCCAACTTTACAGAGAAAGACTATTAAAAACACCACTGATAAATCTTAGCTTGCAAGCTATGAGATATGTGTTGTGGAACCATTACAAATCTTTGACTTGTGGAAATTCACAGCTAGGAATAAGGGAATCCAAACTCCTACCTGAAAAGATCTACTTCATGAACAGTTGGTAAAGCCATGGAGATCTGAGCATCTGCCTAAAAGACATCGCAATGCTTGTTTTTTTAGTCATCAGAATACCTAGGTATTAAATGAAATAGTTTCCCTTAAATGCTTACAGACAGTAGATGGTATATACCCTAATTATTTACCACTACTGTACTACTGCAGTATGTACTGCATTACCTCCACAAGTAACTATTTTTGTGTGCTAAAATCAAGATTACCCCCAACATACACACCACTTTCAGGCATGCAACTTTCAATCCAGAAAAGACATAAAATACTGAAGCAGTTTTAAACAACAGTCATGCAGTACAGGAAGGTACAGATTTGTTTTATATCCATGCTCTATGGCTAGATATTTTTATTAGGTTTTCATCCTCAAAAAAAATGCTAGTTTAGTACTGTTTCACTGATTAAAAGGATGTTCAAGTTCAGTAATTTTGTCAGCCAATGATCTTCTTCCAGAAGCTGGACAACCCTCTTCTAAAGTACTTGGGAGTAATTGGGATAGAATACCTCTAAGAAAGTACTCTAGACTCCTCCATTCAAAGTTTCAAAGACTGTGGGGATTTTATTAACATCAAAATATATGAGAATTTGCTACCAATCTTTTACAAAAAAAAAGGTTAAAGAATGAAAGCAGGTATTTATCTTTATCTTGGGGTTATATACAACAGAAGTATCTAATCTCTACCTGGTGCATATTCTGTACTACTGGTGTCGTTCCAGGCTTGTCACGGTATGTTGGAATCCGCAACTTGAAAGAAAAAGAAAGATTTTTTTTTTCCCTGGTATTGAATTCAGCAGAGACATAAAATGCTGACTTAGAGACAAGATTAACATTTAAAGAGGATATACTACAGTATGATGCTTAATTTCCTCTACAGAACATGCACATAACAATGAATACGTAGCTGAAGACTACAAATCATTGCTACAGGAATGAATATGCAAGACTATGTAGTACTATATAGTAAATGGAGTATTAGAATATGAAAATTATACTTCAGTTAAAAAAGACTATTGATAACATTAGTCACCACTATTACAATAATTTCAATAAAAATACATTTAAATGTCAGAATTATCTGAAATAAGGTTATAGGGTTTTAAGGTGATACAGGATTATTTTTAGAAAAAACCCTCTCAAAAACCATCAGACATAACAGTGGGTATTAGGTAGAACCCAAATAGACAGAACAACAAACATATTTTTCTGACCTCACAGTCTGCATCTCTAAGTCCTGAGTAACAAATTTAGTCATACTGGAAGCTGGTGTGCACAAATGGATGTAATTTATACACAATTAAAACTGACTGCCCAAGCAGTGTAAAAAAAACAGGGATAATATCACAGAAGACAGTAATTATGGCTTTACTCAGCTTAGGACCGCAATTTCAACCCTCATGGATAAGAATTACTGATGAGATAAATGCAGGCAATACCCAAACAAGACATATCTGACACTCATGCTTTCAGAACAGCTTCAGAAACTTCTCCTTCCTCTCCCTGGTGATGTACATGCATCTAGCCATAAACTTGAGAGTATCTGCTATGAACATCTTCTGACTGTAACCTCTGGATCCATAAATTCCATTTAATTGCATTTCATACAAAGATGCTATGGCTCCCAGAGGCCCAGTTCTTAGCCACCATTTAAACTCCACAGTTCCTCCCCCTGCACTAGATACTACTTCTTTAATAGCTTTCTTCAGACACATTTCACTTTCATTGAAAATTATCAACAGACCAAGAAATTAATTTCTGGTGCACAGGCCAAAAAAGATTCTTACTTGTCAAACTTCAGGAACAAGAATTATTTTAATCAATATATTTAATTTGCTTGACTGGAACTTAATTCTCAGCATTTTGAAGTGTTACTTAATGTTTGATTTGACAAATATATTTAGCATTAAAGTCTCCTAGAATGCATATTCCAGAAGGATAAAACAGACACTGCAATTTGTAGCTGTATTAAAACACTGCTTTTTTAACATCTACAAAAACTACATGTTAACCCATGCACCATAAATGATCCTCCCCTCCTCAACCTAATCAAGGAACCTAATAAAGATCTCCCAGACCTTCACCGAGTGGAGTATACATCTATTCCTGTTCTGAAGTATGAGACAATGAAAACAGAGCACAGTACAGTGCGTGTCTATCCAGTAAATGGAGGGGAAAACACCCTCAGAGAAAAATAAGTGCAGGAGTATTTACCTTCATTATAATACCCATAATAGGCAAATGCAATATTTTCCCTGGAATTGGTGGTGGCCAACGATCAACATCGTTACAAACTTAAAGGAAAAAAAAGGTATAAATTATAACTAGTTTATATATGTTATAACCCATGATACTGTAATCACCTTTGTGCACATGGCAATTTTACATTAGTGCTGATAGCCCACAACAGTTCTACTTATGTCTTGATCATTCGAAACTCTAAAGCAGTTTCACAGCCTTTTTGACATTCATGTTATTATTTCATCAGAACTATAAAGTTTTTCATTTCAAGAAAACAGTATCCTCATCTTCCATTTTTGTAGCAACTAGACTCACAGTTAGTTGAAGAAATGTTGTATGAGAAGCCATGAAACTACATATTAAGAAACTGAAAAGAACACACAATTGATGTACATTAGCTACTGTAGAACAGATAAACACAAGTAGTTAGGAAAAAAATCTAGCTTTACAGTTTGACTATAGATTTTTTCAGCATTTTGTTGTAAATTATGAGTATCATTATTAACTCTAGTAGTTTCTGCAGAGCTTATTTTGTTTGTAATACAACCTGTCAAAAAAAAATGTTCATCAACAGGTGATTAAAAAAATAAAATTCCTTCATCAAGAATGATTTCCACAAATTGCTGCTCAAAGACATAAATGTATAGGGCAGACACAGTACAAAACAGCACTTCTATGCAAAAAGCAAGTAACTTTCCCATTTGGCCCTCTCTGGCTGCTAAAGTGCTACAGTAAGGCAGACACACCTCATATCAATGCTTTTTCCTGTTGGTCAAAACCAGAAAGACCCCAACCAAGTTTGAAAAAAAAAAAAACCAACCCCAACCACCAAACCCACACAAAAACCCGTCATGCAAGATGACATTTCTATAGTTCCCTATCAGAATCCCCAGGACTCAGTGTGTGAAGAGTGCAAAGTAACGATTGGCATCAGCTCTTTGTGCTGAACAGCTGGTCCCGAAATGTACAACAAAACCCTAAATATGTTTTAGAGAGGATCTGCAACTCCATGGAGGATCCAAAATTAGATTAGCTCTATTCAATGATCTAGATATCAAGCAAGTTTGCTAACATTTCAACCCTCTACCATGAAGGAAGACGGAAACACAAGCTAGAATGTGACAGTATTGTTACAGTACCACAAACTTCTTTTGGAGAAATAAGAGCTCTTCCAAGACATAATAGTAACACTACCTGCTTCCAAGAAGGCTTCACTTTTTTCAAAATATTCTGGTGCTATTTGCTTAAGCATGGTGCGGAAGAGATTGACATAAGGTAGCTTGCTGATGAGGACTAGTGACTGAAATAAAGAGTAACAAAACAAAAACATAATTTTAAGGTAGGCCTTTCCCTTGGTTCTACTGCAGTTCTTCTGTTATCCTCAGAGAATGTCAAGCATGATTTTTCTCAGACATGCAAGCCAACCACACATATGACTACAGGCAACAGCAAACAAACTCCTCCCAAAAGTTCCCAACGTTTTGTTTTTAAACACACAAAAAAATTCTGCTCTAACAGTGCAGCTGGAACATAGCATAGCTGATGTAAAATTAGACCAATTTACTATAAATCAACAATTAATTTAGTTGAGAGATACTCTTCCTGCTCCTCTAAGGTCCTGAAAAATTTTTAATTTCCAAATGAATATTTTCCTAAAAGAACAGAAATTACCTTCTGGAAATACCCTCTTTTTAATGATTTGTCTCGAACTTGTCTGAAATATACATAGCCATAGTAATATGCTGTATCTTTCTGCAAAAGAAAGGAAAAAATTCAATACAGCAACCTGATACTGTCCTCCTTTCTGAAGCATTTGATATGCACTTTAAAAGCTTATTTCCCTGCAAGCTCAAAAGTTGATTAGATACAATAAACTAGAAGGATTACTCTTGTTTATTTGCCTTATTTTTTAAATAAGTACTTCAAAGAGAAAACACCAGTATTGGGAAACAGCTGTGCTTTCTGGCTTTACTATTTTTATATCTACATTCTCCTGACACAACACAAAAGCAAAAATAGAATGAACTTCCTGAGGAATAAATCAATGCTCATAATTTTGCAGAGTAGCACTAAAAAGATTTTAGCAGTTAAAAACCTTAAAGCTCTGACTTGAAAAAGACTAAAAATAGTCTTTCAATGTATTAGTTTTAGAAAACAACCTTGGAATATTAAGGAAGCATGTTCTCTCATTTCAAAGACAAAGCATCATCTTCATCCTTCCTACAAAGAGGAATTCAAGTATTTGACACAAACAGATCTAAACTGAGTTTGAGAGTCAGTCTCCCACTAACACAGTTGAAGGCCTCAATATTCCATAAGGACATGCTGAGAACAACTTTTTTGGCCACTACCTCTTTTGTGTAACTGCTCCATCTTCAAAAAGTGAAGGGCGGAAACAGAAAGAGACACCTCAACTTTTTTTTTTTTTTTTTTTTTTAAAGTTATAAAGCACTTCAGATTTCCAAAAATGTAACGGTTTTCACAACTTGATCTACAGGTTTCTAGTGACAAAATAGGTCTCATCTTCCATTTTATTCCTTACAGTCTAGAACCCATAGTAATAACGTTTAAAGAACAGTTAACAGAAGTAATTATTAGTTAATTATTACAATAATGATAGAAAACATTTGCTGAGCTTTGTCTTCTAGGACATCCAGTTCAGATTTCGTTTTTCAAGCATTAAATTTAAGCGTGAAGACCCATAAATTAACATTACCCAGAATAAATTAACTTCATTTTTAATTATTTCCAACCTTTAAGTAAACTGGTAGGTCTCTATCCAATTGGTCCAAAAAACAACATAATGAGACTTTCCTTCCAGGAGACCGTCGAAATCTAAAACAAAACTGTGTGTCCCCAAGACAACCTACATAGGGGAAAAAGATAAACAACAAATAGACAGTAGTCTGAGTTTGAGCCTTGTTTAACATGAGGACTTGTCTACAGCCAAAGAGGTGTAAGAGTTTTGATTCATTTATCTTGCACTGCTATTTTGACCATTTATGTATTTATATTTTTATAAGTGAACAATTTGGCATCTTTAGCAACAATAAAAAACCTACCTTCAACAAGGAAAACAAAGTCACTGTCTCACAGTGAGTTTGTCAGACTGTCATGTCCTTAAACAGCTCTACTAATAGCTGTCCTACTACTGCTCTTACACATTTTATGGGTCAGCCTGTATAGTTCCGATCATCTTAACCACATGACACTTCTCTGTTGAAAGACTGCACTTAGTCTTTTTTTACCACCACACAGTTCATACATAAGTCACTCTGTAAGAGTGTATTATGCTGCTCTCTTATAACTCCATGTGCAGGCCTAGGACTTAGTATTTTTGAAAGCTGCAAGACTAACTGCAGAAAACTGTGAAACAGTACTCTCAAGAAGTGAAGCTTCCCTTCATTTGTATCAAAATTGATTTCTCAAAGAAAAACGTTACTATATTGACTATCTGCACTCTGAAAAAAAAATTTGGACTCATTTTGTATCAGATATCAAAGAAGCTTTCTCCAGGTGAAACATGAGAACTGCAGTATCAGAACTTGTATCACTGATACTCCTGTGGCTGTGTTGTTGCCATTGCAAACATCTGCTGTTAAAACAGAGGCAGCTCCAAAAAACCTTTACTTCAAGTAGAAGTTATATAAACTGAACAGAACGTGCTGCTCACGGGAACAGTGGTAAGGGGGAACGCTAGAATCTGAAGAACATGCAGGTATGTTACTCATTCTAGTAAACCTGTAAAAAAATTCCCTTTGGAATGCAGTGTTATTAACATAAACACACTCAATTGAAAGACATGCCAATGTCATGCACATGCCAATGACACAGCGCTAAATATTTGCTCCGAGGTTTCATAGCTAGTTCCCTTCATCCAAAGAAAAAACCCAAACTAATACAAAAAGCTATACACAGAAGACCTGAATTACCCCTAATCATTAACATGTTGAAGTATCATTCAGTATATGATGGCTTCTTATTTAACAAGCTCTTCCGGCATGTAGAATTTGACAGGATTGGTAAAAATCTATTCTTTCTTCAACTGTCCATGCAGAAAAGGCAAAAGCATTATTTTTATAGATAACTGTACTAGGGAACATAGCTTGAAAACCCCAAAAAGTGTCATCTAGTACCTTATTAAATCCATTTTCCCCCTAAATTCATAGCCACTAGAAGCCCTAGAATATCTATTTGTAGTTGTAAAAGAAAAGTAAAAGCTCAATTAGTCTTTGAAGCATGAAAACCTAGGAAAGACTGACCTCAAATTTAGCTGCAAGCGAAAAGCTTCCTTCACTGCTACATTACACAAAGCTTTTGTTTTTATGTTACAGCCTACAATAAAAAAAATAAATTCTAACAGATAGAATACACTCCCAGCTAATTTCTAAAACACAGGTTCTAAGTAGGTAATCCCTCTACATCATTTGAAAATTCAGCCTACCAAGAACAATCAAGAACCTAAAGGTTCTTAATAGGGATATTATAAAAAGCAAAAAGGTGGAACTTTTTCTTCCTGCTGAAAGTAAACTCTCCTTACATATACCTACTCTGCCTAAAATAACTTTACTACCACTCTTATTTGAAAAAAAACAAAATAACCCCAAAAATCTGGTTTTGGTCCTAACATGTTATTTTGTACCTTCAACACATCTGAAGGTTGGACAGATTTATAACTATTAATGAGAGTAATAACAAGATACAGTTAACTCATCCTCTCTTTCAAAAATAGAAAGCAGCTCTTCCTCTAGTTACATACAGGCTACCAAAACCAGAGAAAATACTTTAATTTTAATGACATTAAGACAAAGGGGAAAAAATAGCCAAGATATTTTGTAAAATTACGTAAGAAAGAGCTCTCACACATACTAAGAGCACACACCTGCATCACCCCACACCAGAGTTGTTAAGCTGCAGAGCAACCAAAAGCACAAAGAGCACTTATAGGGACAAATTTGTTACTAAAGGTTTTGACTTCTGTAAAGAAATAAACGTGAAAGGAAGTGTCTGTACTTCTGCCATATCTTTTTTCCAGGTGGTCCAAGTCATCTGTCACATGCTTTCCATTTCTCTTTGGCAGCAGAACAAAAGTTTAGATTAAAGATGTATTTAGCAAGCAGGACCACACACAACAACACAATCATCAAGAATAGAGAAGATATAAGATAGCCTTGGTTTTCCCTTCACAACTGTTCTTTCTAAATGCTTAGCTTCACTGTTACGAATTTAGAACACATGCATTCACTCCTTTATGAGAAGAGGGTTCCATATTCCTTTCATTTGCTTTATCAAACTCTACAAATCCTGTGCCTACACTCCTCTTTACAATGACAGTATTATTTTGTTTAAAAGCAATATTAAGATATTATTTACTTGCAAAGTATTCTGTAATATCTGCATGTGTGTCACCTAGAAGGTCTTACACATTCACAATCCTGGTATTTCACGTACATAAAATAAAAAAAAAATTCTCAGACTTTACTGCAATACAGACAATTACAGTTTTATATTTAACCTTATTTGCAATTTTTCTGTAATATTAAGATATTCATATAAGTATTTAATCTAAAACCATGACTGTATTCTAACAAAATTTATCTTTTTAAGGTAACTTAGTCCAACAACAGACAACTACAGAGTGAAGGAAGCACTTACCTGAATTAGAATCTGGAAAAGACAAATAGCAAATATTGGTTTTCTAAAGGGTGGAGAAGAGAAAAGAGAGCCATTATAGTTCCTGAAATTACTAAACTTAAAACAAATTATATACTTATACAGCAACCATGACTTACCTCTTTATCTGTGAGTTTTGAATGTGGAGGATATATTACCTACAGGAAAAGAGTATTATTTTATTTGAAGTATACTGGGTATAAGCAGTAAGCTTCTATTAAATATTTTTATTATACAACCCTCAAATACCTGCCTAGCTTTAGGCTATTTTCACATTAAGCTAGTAATATTATGTCTCTGCTCTTAATTTTCATATGCTTTTAAGCTAACTTCATCATCCATCTTTACAAGGTATTTTAGACACCAGTTGGGAGACCATACAGACACGTTAAAAAAATTCAGAGTACTTGAGATTTTTGGTGCAACAGGTCTCAAAGGAGACCAAGATTATATCCTTTAGATTTAACTTGTACATATGAAATGCAGTAGATGATTCTATAGAGGGCCAACACATTAACTGTCCAAAATCTCTTGCAATAGATAGTCAGGTGGGAATAATCAAAATTCAATCACTAAACACCCTCTACATTACTAATGACTCTTGGAGGATGAACATTGGCCCAAAATGAGAGCTGAGAATTGTGAAAGCTCAAGTAACACACTCAAAAAGTCACGGCTTTTGTACTGACAGAAAAAAAAAAAAAAAAAGTAAATTTAGTTTTTACAATGCAAAAATCAAAACAAATGAAACACAATGTAAGATATGGAAGCACCATCATTTAAGAAAACCGGGATGTACAAAATCAGTGATCATGCAAGTGAGAATAGAATGTACTGGAAAGAGAACAAACCTGAGATATTTAAGTTTCAACAAAAAAGTTCCTGAAAAAAACCCTCCAAAACTACTGAAATGGGTGGTGAGCTTGTAAGCAATGGAAATTAAACAGAAATTCAAAGATTACGTTTCAAAGAAGATTTCATGGCTTCTATAGATGAGAACTTCTCCAAGGACAGAAGTTCAATTCAAGAACACTAACTTAGTTTAATGTCCTCCTCTCACTATACTGCCAACATCCAGTTACCTAATTTAATCTTGTTCAACAAAATGTAAGTAAATGCATTTCCTGATAATGTAACCCTGTCCCACTCCACAGAAAACAACAAATACAACCACTGGCTGGTCTCTGACTAAGCAGGCTTTCCGTCTCCTGGCAGTAAAGTCTCCACTTCTCTTTCCCTCAGTCTTCTATTCAATGACACTAATAGTGCATTGCACAGCTGGACATATCTAAAACTAAAAGGAGACATGAGGGGAACACCTGCATACTGCACTTAGTAAACTTATCATCATCTTTTTGTAATCTCTTAACGTTTTCCTATGTTATTTTACACTAAGCGATACACTCAGATGTAACTCTTTCAGCAGCTGAATGATGCTCAAATGATCTGCATCTTGTCAGATGACTGGAATAGACCAAACTTGAGTTCATATTCCTGTTCCTCACTTGACAGTGTATCTTCCCAGAATTCCAGTCAAAACTAAAACCTAATTAGTTCCTGCAGCAACATAACTGAAAAAACTCATTCCTTAGTTATGTAGACATTTTAAGTTTCATTTTATGAATCCGTTCAACTAAAATTGATGGGACTGTTAACAGGGTTGTTCACATACACAACAGAGGCTACTCTGTGCTTCCCTCAGCCACGAAGCACATTAGCTGCTTAAATCAGCAGATTATGCAGAAATACTTGTCTTTGTTAACAAAAATTATTTATAACATCAAGCGAATACAACTTAAGTAATTAGCACAGTATTATGGGCTTTTATTTGCATTTTTCTTGCAGCCAAGAATGCATATCAATTACGTGTTTTAATATATTGTAATCGCTACCTTGGTTGAATTGTATATGCTAGAACCCATTTAACAACAACAAAAAAAGACGACACTTAGCCCTACATGCCACTGTTTGCTGCACAGTCATATGGTGAATATGGTAAACCAGGATGTGAAACTGATCCAAATGATAATTCTTCTTTCCAGTTTATCTTTCAGCCCCATCAGTTGCCCAGTGCAGTTTCATACACAAGTTCACAGATATGTGCCTGTTGCTCAAAATGGCAAAGCGCAGCGGGGAGTCAAAAACCCCGCAGCTTATGGCAGCACCACTAACGCATCATCACAGTCTGACATTCATTTAATGGTGCAAGGAAAAGGCTTCAAGCGTTTAGGGATTTGCACACCTCAGCGATCTGGAGAAAACGGTTGATTACGAAGACTACTTGCGTTCACGTTATTACTAAACTCTTTGAAACCTTCAACATCTAGCTGTCATGGAAATCAGTGCTATTCGTACATAAAGAAAGACGATGCATTTAATACAAATCTTGGCATGAGATGAAAACCCTTCACGAAGGCACACTGACATGACAACCAGCATAATGGAAACAGTTGCTTGAAAATAATTAAACTCACCTCAGGCTCCGTGACAGCTGTCACTGCCTGCCCCCAGCGCACTCCCTCCCGCTCGCTCCGCCAGGCTCGCCGCAGCACGCTCCCTCCCCGCGGCGGGATTTTGCACAATCACGTTTCTCTCAGAACGCCGCCGAGCTTCCCCCGCCGCTGGGCAACACGGGCACCAGAGGAAGTGCCCGATTCCGGCGGGGCCCCGCGGGGGAGCCGCCCGCCGCCTCACGTACCT